ATTTGAAAAGAAAACTAGATCAAGATAAGAATTCATTAAAAGTAAAATTTAATTTACAGAATGGGAGTAAAATAATGATGAAGATAAGAAAAACGGAGCACTGAATAACTTGGATAAATGATGTTGGCACAGTAGTAACAGTCAAGTTGGTGGAAAAGAAATGAACGTTAATAAAATCAAAATGTATCATTATGTGTACACGAAGTTGTTTAGCTTCGTTCAGTCTAGACCATAAAGATTAGTTTAAACTATTTAACTGTGATGAGTGCAATTACTATAGCCAATAGTTGAAGACTTTAACACTAGATAACTCAAATATCAGCAAAATATTAAACTGATCTCCCCAAAGCCTCATAAATTACTGTAATGGGTAACGTCAGAAAGAAATATTGATTAATATTTGCAATTTAGGGGCTTCAACTCCACGTAGAGCCCCTCCGGAGCTACTTCCAGTCCCGAGATCGTATAAAGGAGGAGGATCGGGTTTAGGGTTGGAGACCCCACCCAGTAGTAAACTAATTCGCTAAAAGACGTTAACCTCTTTGTTGTATCTGCCTACGCTCCCACTGACTGTGGCTCGGAGGTGAAAGGTGAGTTTTACAGGTTTCGGACCTCCTCCAAAAAGTTAGGCGCTCTGATGTAGTGGTAGTGGCTGGTGACTTCATTGCTCAAGTAGGTAGACTAAGTGAAAAGGAAACACACCTGGGTGGATCATATGGTGTCGTGACTCAAAGACCAGATAATGGCGACCATCTGCTGCAACTATGCTCGGATAACCGCCTATTTCTAGCAAACACTAACGTTAAGCATAAGGAAAATATCTCTTGACTCCCAAAGCCGACCCAACTAGACCACATTCCTATCAGCCGTCGGTGGAGAGGCTAAATTGAAGACTGACGCTCATACTGGAGCACTTGTTTAGACTCAGACCATGATCTAGTGCGAACGCGTATTTGTCTGAGTCTTACGGGACGTAAGAAAAATATCGCAAATAAACGTCTTAGGGTTCTAATTAATGATAACAAAACTAAGAATATATTTCAGGGGCAACTAGCAAAGAAGTTAGGCAGCCATGTAAAAGATTCCCGCCCTCAGACAGCCTGGAAAGATATCCGAAAGGCTGTGGAAACAGCAGTGATATCTGCTAGCAGGTAAACCATAAGATTAGGGATAAGCCGTGGATCTCAGCAGTGTCTACCGAACTTAAAGATGCTCGAAAACTCACCCCGTCTGGCTCTGAGTTCGATCAGGAGCGGAGTCAGCTTAGGCGCATGCTGATAAAAAGCCTTCTCAATGGTCGCGAACAGTGATGGGTAGCGAAAGCAAGAGCGATTAAAAAAGGCAGCAGTGGTAGACAACAGTAGACTAATTCTAAAACTGTAGCATCCGTCTTGAGAAAAGCATCTCGATATACTGAAATGGTGTGGCAACTTGAGCCGATCCACATATATGTCAGCTTTTAGGTTGATCAAGTTTATGTACTATGGTTTTAAAGTCATGATTTATTAGAGGGGTATAAGAAAATCAGCTATCCAAATCGTCTGTCCAGTGCTTCCTGGTTCGCAATAGTAGATCAGTTTGTGATGTCAACTGCGGAAACCGAAATTGGTAAGGCAAAAGTTATAAGGAACTACGAAGCTTAGAACCTTGGGGGAAAATGAGTGGATGCGCCTACCTACATGCTTCAGTTCTACAGTCAATGTCTTCATGGACTGATTCCATGTCTTGGTTTGGTCGACTCCAGCATTATTTCAACCTATTCCCACATCAGCAAACATCGCGCAAGGTAGTCGGTGGATGGGCAGACATAATACATGTCCTCACCATCTAAGTCGATAAGCACTTATTACCTCAATCAATTTCCTATCCCTAGCATTTCTAACTCAACATTTCCAAAATATCTGACCAGTGCTTCGAAGTAACCTATGATGGAATACCAGCAATCTACGAACATCCTCCATTCTTAATGGTCACATTTCATACCCATTAAGAACCGACAAACAGTAAACTTTTCTTTTGTTTGGCAGATGGATATCTCGTCTACACCATAAGTGGAGCAAGTTGACAAAAGCAACATGGGTTTCCTGAATTTGAATCGAAATGTCGTTAGGCATCAGCCCACCGGGACTGATGAGACCTCAAAGATAAGTGAAGTAGTATACTTGATCAACTACATCACCCCTATACGTAGTTCAGGCATTGATGCGGATCAGTCCTGCAGTAATATTTTGCATTTAGACTGGGGGGAACATATTGCAAATACGGTTGAATTATTGTTTAAGGTAACCAGAAAAGTCTGCATTTTGTCTGCTTCTTCAACAGACAGATCTATATCACTGTAATCATGAATCAATCAATCAATCTTAAGTCAGAATTGGAAACCTGAGAACCACGGCCCCGTTAATCATGGATCGAACCCAGGACCTTCGATTTCACGCATGAACGCTCAACTCTTGACCACTGACCCAACATATCCAACGGTGTCATTGTCTAACTTCAATCAATCCGCCAAAGTTCACGATCTTCTTATCATCTACGCATATCATGAGTCAAAAAGAGAATATTCTAGTAGAAGATCGATTCCTGTATAACTTCAAAACCCATATTTCTGTGATAACAAATCAATAAATTAATGGAATAGAAAATCATATAAAATTCATATAATTATCATATACATCCTATCAAACTGTCAGGTCATATTAAACGCCACAATAAGATTAGTAAGAGTCAACTGTCATTTTTTTTCTCTAAATAAATAAAGTCAAATTAAAATGATCAGACTACTTACTATACGTGTATTTGTTCGCCTGTTGTGTGTATGCAAATGTTCACAATACAATCTGGCGCATTCAACCAACCAACATCAATGTGAAAGTTTGTGAGTCACGTGTCCGACACAAATAAATACACAATAATACATCGAGTATCAGTGAAAATTGTCTAATGACTGACTAATTATGCAAATAAGGTCACAATCATACAAACATACACATAGACACCGAGAGAGAGAGACAGTTAGCTGAACCTTTATTATTGTTTATCTATTGCTGATATTGTGGGCATGTAAAAGTAATCAAGTCAGCACAGAACACAACAATTCATTTATTTACAGACCAAAAAGGAAACAATGATATTTGGAAAAAAATAGTGAGAAGACACGAAGGTAAAAAAAAACACAATGCACGCATACATACACACCAAGGTACACTGACAGTAATTTAGTAGGAATGAATCATGATTACATATCGGAGATTATATTGGATAGGTGTGTGGGTAGGTAAATCATGGGTAGTGGATAAAGTGATAATTAAATCCAGATTATTTTCATCATACAGTAGTGGAGATTGTTGAGTTTCACTGAAATCATAAATCGATCATTCTAGGGCTACTATTAAAACCCGGAGGCACTGAACGACAGCCGTTACGCCCTAGTATGGAACTTATCAGCAGTGCGCATCCACGACCCCCTCTCGTGGGAATCGAACCCAGGACCTTTGGTTTGACGAGCGAACGCTTAACCTCTAAACCACTGAGCCGGGAACTATCGGTGTTATTGTTTAACTTCCATAAATCCAACCTGACCCATTGTCCTCGGCGGGCACTGTTTAATAACAAACGGTTGAACACCACTGGTTGCGATCTCTCATTAGAACACGAAGAAACTTCCTCACGTAGCTAGCTAGTCAGTAGTGAGCACATGATAATTTTCACTATAGGTTTTGGGTTTCATCAAAATCATTTGTCGATCAATGACCACTGAAGATAGTGAATGAGGTTGAGCAAGACCATGGATTGATCGAAGTTAGACATTACCACCGTCGGATTCCCGCCCAGTGATCTAGAAGTTAAGCATTAGCTCGCGAGATTGAAAGTCCTGGGTTCTGCATTACGTAATTGCTGGAGTTCGAGTGAGCAGTTGTGCCAAGTAGAAATCAAATATGTCGGATATGAGGCAATCGGAGGTGATCGCGCAATATCTTAAATTCATTCGCTCAAGATGAATGAAATGGAAATATGTTGTACTCACCTAGTAAATTAACGGAAAACATACCAAAAACTAGGTTGGTGGATAGGAGGGTTCATATAGGAAAGTTAGGAAACCCTAATTCTGAACCGATGATCCACATGGACTGCACAATCCTCAGAAACCAAATAGTGTATGGACCAATTGCTGGCAACTAACTACCATGGGACTACATCTCATGACACTGCTACATTGCTTTTTGGATTAGACCGGTAGGCGAAAGTTTTGTACGGTGGCACCCTAAGACTATTTCGACGTGGGCGACAGAAAAATATCCAAAGTCAGACACACAAATTCATTGATTTATGTGGTGCACAAATATACTTAGGTGTCAATTTGTACCAGTAATCGTGTTTCAAATAAAAAGTTATGATATATACTAATGGGCATTGCTTGAAAGATATCTATAGAGAAATACTTCACAGTCAACGTATGTTATCCATATTTTTTTCAAAAAAAAACTAAATTTCATATACGCAGGTTTAATACAGTGAGTACTATTTTGTAGTATAGTTAATTTTTTAGTTGCTAAAATGGACAGAGTCGGGTGATTGAAACCTGAAACCAATATCATAAACCATATGTGTAAGTTTTGATTCAAGACAAAAATATATGGATATCATTTCAGTGAGATGATAATTTATGGGATGAACCAATTAGATTTAAGATTAAAAAGTCTTGGATTTTAGCACAAAATTCATATATATGATATAAAAGTTTCTTGGCATTGTATAGCTTATGTCAGTTTGTTCCATGAAAACTTAGATCCCTATTCTAATTTCTCCCATTGATCTATATCTCTCTTTAGACCCTAGTAAATAAATGAGTTTTCTCAAAGTCACTTTAGTGCCTATCACAGATTGTGCAGAAGTTACAATTTCACTAACATTTCAGACGAACAGCATGATATACTACTACTAGTAGTAGTACTACTACTATTAACAATAATAATAATGATAATAATAAATCATATTACCTCTTGAATTCGAAGGCTTTAATTCACTGACAACAGTTGTAGTTGCTGAAGACGACGACAACGATGATGAAGAGAAGGAGGCGGAGGCAGCGGTGGCGGCTGCGGCGGTAACAGAAGAGAATAAATTCACTGGGATATATGGTCCTGTATTATTTAATCCAATTTTATCTGACTGATTGATGAAATTATCTATCTGTTGTATTGATGGTATATGTATTTCACAAAAATATTCACCAAAACCAGCACGAAAATAATCCTCATTGAATCGAGATTTTATATCTGATATCAAATGATGAGATGTATGTGTGTGTGTGTATAGTGTGTATAGTATGTATTGATTGTCCAGGGATGATTAAATAGAGAGACAGAGAGAGAGAGAAGTGGAAATAAAATATTCAAATTGAACAGTAATCAGAATTTTATTCGTTAAAAAATTCAGTGAACCTGAATAAAATATTAAGCCTATTTCTACAATTTAACAAGTGCAATAATGTTGTCATGTAATCTCATATTCCATAATTAAAACTGAATAACTTTAAACTATTAACAATAGAATAGCATCTGTAATATGTACTACTCGATTGCATAATATCTTTAGTCTGTAATCTTTTCATATTACCGTTAATACTGCTACTAACTCTACTACTATGAGATTAATAGGTAAGAATGACAAATGAATCGATGAACTAGTTGTAGTTAAGACATGTTCCTGGTATACTCACAACCAACCAATGCCCACTCTAACGAACGATGTTGTCCAGTATGATAGTAGTAGTTGGCAGTCGGCCAAATCAAAACATCACACTATTGTACATCAAGTCATTGAGTGGCATGGCTCAAAACCGTTTGCAATGGTGCAGGTGTATCCGTTTTCTGTGTTCTTCTCATGAATTCTTCATGACTTTTCTTTTTTCCTAAAATTTATTTCACTAATTTGTATATTTGCTCACATTATAATATATTCGACCCGTAATCGTTTCACAATGTTGCTACTACCTCTAGTACTATGAGATTTTAACTGACGATTGCATCTGTTTGTGCTAATTGGGGTATGGCAACCTGAATGATTGACATCAGTAAATACATTAAGTTCATGAAGAAATCATTCATACGATAAGGATATGCTTCATTGATTCAGTTTCTTTTTCTCAACAGAATAGAACACACATGAGCGGTATTGGTGAAATATGTTGCTTTGATTTCTAAAGGATATATATATGGGAATGTACAGATATTACTCGATTCAATTTAACCATTAAAAAAAATCTTGCTTCTCAATCTAAATCTTTTCACTCAGTTGGTCTATACGATTGAATAATTGTTCAACATAACCACCGTTAAGACATCCCGACCGAAGCTGCTACCTTGACGTGGTGGTCGGGCTTGCCTATCGTGATGACCCAACCGAGCTTTACTGGCTGGAACATATGTTCCTGCAGGTCCTACCATGCCAGGCAGGTCGATTGGAGAACGATGAGACTAAAAGCAGCTACCCAAGGTCTGAGGGCGAAGTCGTACTGCTGACTGCAGAGGGGTGTGACAGCAGTAAGGTGTTTCCCTCGGACAACCAGCATCTGCAGCGATGCTGCCTTCTCACAAGGAAGGAAGGGTTAGAATAGGTCGGCCCTAAAAATGTCACACTCCCCCTAACTCACGGATTTCCGTCTCCCTGGGTAAGGGTGCCCACTAAGGGCCTTTAAGAACGGAGCTAATCCTCAAAATACCTTTCATAAAAAGGCCGTGTGTGACCGGCCTCAAGCAGTTGTCCCTTGGACTCTGTGGTCACGCACCAACACTAATCCATCTTCCTTTTCAGGTCCCTCAAGAAACAACCTTCCACGGTGTGGGCAGCCGGGAAGTGACAACCGCCCTCATACCCGTAACAGCATGCGAGACCGAATTGGTCAAAATCAAATCCTTCCTACACCCCCTAATGCCTCTATTATCTCTACGACTAACTCTACTCACACTCCCTTTTCTCACTGCACCGCTAATGCAGACGAAGTGAGATCACGAAACGTCGTTCCTGGTCTCTTGAAACCCCGTTCTAGACTACATATTGGGGCTTTTAATGTACGGACATTGTGTCAAATAGGGCAACAGGCATCATTAGCTAGGACTTTAGAATCTCGTGCCATCGATGTATGCTGCGTCTCGGAAACGCGCATACAGGATCCTAGTAAAGTCATTAACCTGATTTCACCTTGTCAAAACGTAGAAGCAGCTCGATTTACTCTTCGTGTATCCGGTAGCCCTGATGCTGCTTCCAGGGGTCTTGCTGGCGTAGGCATAGCGTTGAGTCCTAGGGCAGAATTATCTCTCCTAGACTGGATCCCAGTAGATAGTCGTTTGTGCGCTGTCCGACTAAACGGGACAGTAAGGACTCGTAAGGATAGGGACACTCGCCGTTGCCTCTTCGTCATATCTGCCTATGCCCCCACTGACTGCAGTGCAGACGAGCTTAAAGATGAGTTTTACAGAAAGCTTTCGGACCTCCTCCAAAAAGCTAGGCGCTCTGATATAGTAATAATGGCTGGTGACTTTAATGCTCAAGTAGGTAGACTAGGTGAAAAGGAAAGACATCTAGGTGGATGTTATGGTGTAGCGACTGAGAGAACAGACAATGGAGACCGTCTGTTGCAACTATGCTCAGATAACCGCCTATTCTTAGCGAACACCAACTTTAGGCATAAGGAAAAGCATCTGCTGACCTGGCGACCTCCAAAGTCGTCTCAACGTTGGACTCAACTAGATCACATCGCCATCAGTCACCGATGGAGGGGTTCGATAGAAGACTGTCGCTCGTTCTGGGGCACATGTTTGGATTCAGATCATGCTCTAGTGCGAGCTCGTATCTGTTTAAGGCTTACTGGGCGTAGGAAAGACACCGTAAGAAAGCCTCTCAGGGTTTTACTTAATGATAATCAAACCAAGAAAATATTTCAGGAGGAACTAGAAAGAGAGTTATGCAACGATGTAAGTGATTCCCATCCAGAAGCAGGTTGGTATGATATCAAAAAGGCTGTGGAAACAGCAGTGATATCTGCTAGTAAGGTAAACAATAAGGCTAGGATGAAGCCGTGGATATCAGTCGCATCCACCGAACTGATGGATGCTCGAAAACGCATCCCACCTGACTCTGAGCATGATGAAGAGCGTAGTCAGCTTAGGCGTAGACTTATAAAAAGTCTGCGTAACGACCGCGAACAGTGGTGGGTGGTGAAAGCAAAAGCGATGGAAAAGGCAGCGGCGATCGGCAACAGTAGACAACTTTTCCGCCTTATTAAAGAAACTGGTATTAAGAACCCGAATGTGAGTGAGACTATCTCGGAAAAGGATGGTCTTATTATCCATTCTCAATCTAGGAGACTGGATCGATGGGCAGAACACTTTAGGGATCAGTTCAACTGGCCACGAGCCACTCTTCGGTTACCCACGATCTCCAGTCATCCTGAATGGCAAATCGACCTAAGTCCCCCTAGTCTTGATGACGTTGAGAAAGCGTTAGGAAATCCGAAACGAGGACGAGCTGCAGGTCCTGATAGACTGACCCCTGAGATATTTAAGGATGGTGGTCCAGTTTTAGCAGCTAGGTTGACTGAGATCTTAGGTAGAATCTGGGAACTGGACGTAATCCAATCCGACTGGTCTCAATCACTGATTGTCCCAATCTATAAGAAAGGACAAAAGTCTTCTTGTGACAATCACAGGGGAATAAGTCTAACTAATATAATATCTAAAATACTGGCCTCAATAATACTTCGACGCTTAACGAAAGCTCGTGAAGAGCAGACTCGAGAAAACCAATCTGGTTTTCGACCTGGACGTGGTTGTATAGACCACGTCTTCACACTCAGACAGGTCCTGGAACATAGACACACATTTAGGCGTCCTACAATAGTTGTTTTCCTAGACCTTGAGGCGGCATTTGACTCAGTGGATCGTAAAGTTCTGTGGCAGTGTCTGTCATTGAAAGGTGTACCACAGAAGTACATTAACCTTATACAAGCTCTTTACTCGAACACCACTGGTCGAGTGAGGGCTTATGGCGAACTGTCAACGGAATTCTCTACATCAAGTGGTGTCCGTCAGAGATGTCCACTTTCTCCATTCTTGTTTAATTTTATCATAGACATGCTCCTAGACATAACATTATCCTCGTCTGAATTTTCAGGAGTAGAACTTCTACCAGGTGGCTCGCTGATTGACTTAGAATATGCCGATGACATTGTCCTACTTGGTGAAGACGCTGACAAAATGCAGAGTCTTCTGACTACCCTAAGCAACAATGCAAGCATGTTCGGGTTGCGATTTTCCCCCTCGAAATGCAAAATGTTGCTTCAAGACTGGGTTGCATCGGCACCTGAACTAATGATAGGGAGTGAAGTAGTCGAACGTGTAGACCGCTTCACTTATCTTGGGAGTCTCATCAGTGCCGATGGCCTGGTGACTGACGAAATCTCAGCACGGATACAGAAGGCTCGATTGGCTTTTGCCAACCTGCGTCACTTATGGCGTAGGCGAGATATCCGTTTGCTGACTAAAGGATGAGTGTACTGCGCAGTAGTTCGCTCCGTCCTCCTATATGGCTGTGAAACATGGCCAGTGAGAGTAGAAGATATTCGTAGGTTAATGGTTTTCGATCATAGGTGTCTTCGAAGCATTGCTCGTATATCCTGGGACACCCGAGTGAGCAACGCTGTTATTAGGAAACGGGTACTAGGTAAGAATGGCAGATCAATAGATGAAGTATTGAAACTTCACCAGTTGAGGTGGTTGGGACATGTGTTGCGTATGCCCAACCACCGGCTGCCTCGTCGAGCCTTGTTTTGTAGTGTAGGAATAGGTTGGAAGAAAGTTAGAGGCGGCCAAACCAAAACATGGCAGAAATCCATGAAGTCAATGACTAGTGGACTGAGCCATGTTGGTAATTGTCGACTACCTGGTTGGGGTCCGCGAGATGATAATAATCGATGGTTAGAGACCTTGAATGACATGGCTCAAAATCGTTCGCAATGGCGCCGGTGCATTTATTCTCTGTGTTCTCTCAAATGCTAATCTTTTGGATTCTTCAACACCTCTAGTTTCGACTCTCTAAACTTTTCTCACTGAGTCATACTTCTTGAATAATATCTTCTAATCCTCACCTCTCCGATTATTTCTAATTCCCTTACTACCTCTTCTACTATTGGATTTGAATTGACGATTTCTTCTCTGTGCTGATGTGGTATGGCAACATGAACTGATGTACTTATGTACAAAGTTCTACGTTGCATCTGACTGACTGACTGACCGTTAAGACATGACATTGGTGCAGGAGTTAGTCAGTCAGCTACGAACTTCGTACGTACATATATTAGTTCCTGTTGCAATACTATACAACATTAACAGAGAGATCGAACTGTCGATTCAAATCCAATAGTAGTAGAGGTAGTAACAGCATTAAAGGTAATCGACAAGATTAGGGATCGATGATATTATTCAAGAAGTATAATCCAGAGAGATAAATTAACAAATGGAAAAAAGCTCATGAAGAATTTAGATTAGAACTTGGGAGAACACAGAGAGTGGATGCACCTGCGTCATTGCAAACGACTTTGAGCCATGTTATTCAAGGTCTCTAACAATCAGTTACTATCATCTCAAGGATTCCAACCAGGTGGTCTACACCTATCAATATGGCTCAGTTCACTTGTCAGTGATTTCATGGATTTCCGCCATGTTTTGGTTTGGCCGACCCTAACTTTCTTCCGACCTACTCCTACATCACAAAACATCACTCATCGGGTCAGTCGGTGGTTAGGCATTAGTAACACATACCCCAAACACCTCAACTGATGAAGATTCACCACTTTTGCAACTGACTTGCCATCCTTACCTAGTACTCGTTTCCTAACGACAGCATTGCTTACTCGGTTGTCCCAGGATACACGAGCAATGCTTCGAAGACACCTATGATCGAAAACAGATATTTGTACTATCTTGACTTGGAAAAAAACACACACAGAGATATAAAAAAGAACAACTACCTACCTGGATCATTATCATTATAAAGATATTGGAAATTTTTATTCCACTCTGATTGATCTTGTTGAGAACGACGACGATGATGACTAATAAGAGAGGTATTTGAATGACCCAAGTGAATTTCAAGCCAACGACCACCATCCAATGGGATAGCTTCATAGTGATCCGGCCAAGTAGAATCACTTAAATCTGTATCGAAACCGACAGGTTGCATAACCATCACATCTGATGTGACATGAAACCATCTAGTGAAAAAAAATATGAAACATGGACAATATTGTTTTATATGAACCAGATATTTCACGAAATAATAAATATTGTTGAATGGTTGCCAATAACTAAAGATAACTGTTGGACCTTGATTCCATGCTAATTGTACTCACAGAGGAAATTGATGTGCCTTGTGGCATTTAAACATGTTTGTCTGTTATCCAGTGTCATATGTACTCACAGACGTGACATGTGAGACGTTAACCCATATTATGCGCTAAGAATTGCCAGACCGAATTCCAACTACGTCTCTGTTTCGCATCTACTACTATGTCTTGTACAGCCTAATGTTCCAGAGCCGTTGACTTTGAAAAGATGAATCTCAACTCCTACTGGTCCTTTAGTTGCAAACTTTTCACTATGCTCTTCTCTGCATTACGTCCGAAAAGCTGCTAACATACATGAGTTTAGACAGAACCATAGAAGATAACATCATACAAGGAAATTAAAAACAAAATCATACACAAACAAGCAAAAAAATAGTTGTAATTAGTTGGCTGAAAACTAATTAGCAATTGTAAATTGTATAAACAGTAATATTAAATGGGTCGACCCAAAAGCTCATGGCTAAATGAAATACATTCATCATCATTCATTATCATGTAAATAAATCATTTCGTTTTTTCAATTGAATGAATAATTGAGACTAGTTTTTATCATAAGTTTTTTTTACGGATGACTTAAATATGCTCAATTAAGTTTAATATTAATAGATAATAGATTGTACATATTTATTATGCTTGATTAATGATGAATGAAAATCAATGTAAAAAGACAATTTTAACTTATTAATTACTACAATTATGAATCGATCATTGTTAGACAGCCATTAGAAACCTGGAAGCACTGCATGGCTGCTTTGTCTTAGTATGAAACTCATCAACAATGCGCATCCACGATACACACACTCACGGGAACCGAATTTAGGACCATCGATCTCGCGAGTGGACGCTAAATCTCTAAACCATTGAGCCGGCATCCAACGGTGTTAATGTCTAACTTTAATCAATCCTTGATATTGCGTAATCTCTCCCATTGTCTTCAGTAGGTAACTGCCTACACCTGACAGGATTGAACTCCACTAGTCAAGGAGTCTCATCAGAAATACGAAAATTCCGTCAATGATCTGGAGGTTAAGCGTTCGTGCACGACATCGAAGGTCCTGGGTCCGACTCACGAGAGCGGGTATCGTGGATGAGCCTGATACTAGGGCGGAACGGCTGTCGAGTGTTTCAAGGTTCTTAATGGTGATCTAACAATGATCAATTCCTAATTTCAATGAAGCTCAATAATCTCCATCATTCTATTATGAAAAATCATAATTCATTTTAGTATTTAACAATCAAATCCCCAGTAAAAATAATTTCATCCATACAGATTAGTTGTAAAACTTAACAATAACAAAAAAAGCATCAACAAACACAATAGATTCAGGATAAATTGAATATAATCACATGAAAAAGAATATTTGATAAATAAAAGTATGTAATTAGAGAAGAATTCGATTTTTTTCCTGTTTGATGTCAAAATAGTTTTTTCCTAACAGATTATCATATCTAATAAAAATCATTGTTAACCATCATACCAGTGGCGAATATGCGACCTATTTAAAAAAAAATCAGATTAGAACAAAACAACTTGCTTAATAGTGTTATTCTGTTCTATAGAATGTCAATGTGTTAAACGAAGATGAGAATAATCATTGTTCTATACTAAAATAACATGGACACTGTATACAAATAGTAAACATGAATTTGATAGCGCTGACGTACTGACCTCTTCCTGATTTCCTTTTGCCAGCTATCACTCAATGACCTTAATCTCTAAGTTAAACACAAACAAACACACAAACGCTTACAAGTACAACTAACCAAATTGTGGAGCTTTAACAGAGATCATAGAAAACGGCTTCATTTTATCTTCTCCTCTGGTAACTGACTAAATAGAAAGGATAAACTATGTACCATATTACCGGAATACTAATAAAGTGTGCTTCGTCAACAGGTTAATTCTACTGAAGGTTGAAAATCGACAAGCATTAGACAGCGATTTCGTCTTAACATAGGACTTTTCAACATTTTACGACCCCACTAAGGATGGCATTCAAGGATTTCAGTTACAAGTGTGAACAATTAGCCTGTCGATTAGTGAGTTAGCAGTGTAGAAGTTTAATTCACTGATAAAATTGAAGTTTATGTACACAGCTTTAAGCCATAGTATAAGTGTATAAACGTTGACGATTAATATATAACACTTAAGATAGGTTGCAATAGAATAGGTTATTATTATTACTTCTACTGCGATTACTATCATCAAGACACCACAATACTTGAATGAAAAACAACAAAAATGATGTATTTTTGGAGTTCTAATGAGAAACCGCTACTAGTGGAGTACAATCCATGTCAGATGTAAGAGTTATTCCCTACAGGCAATGTATGAAGGTTGCACAAGATCATAGATTGATTGGAATAAGATACTGACACCGTCACTGGCTTAAACGTTAAGCGATTGCATACGAGGTTGTCTAGTTAATATCAGTCTGTGATTAGAAAGTTATGAAAAAGAATTACTAACCTACAACGAATGGAACTATTATATCCTAAGCCCCTCCGTAATACATATAATATATACGCGACCTCATCAGAGATCTAACTCAGGACGTTTATGAGTCAAGGGATATGCTTATATTTTAGACCACTGATTTGGTGGTATACATTTACAACTTTGGTAATTTTGCAATAATCGCTTTAAAAAAAATAAACCCAAACATGAAATGACCTAAGTATCAAGGTCAACTAATCTCTCTCTCTCTCTCTCTCTAACACAGAACTACTCAAAAGCGACAAGAATAATTCAGGGGCAAAAAAAAAGTCAATAATACAGCAGAACAATGTTCGTTCACAAGTTTGATAAAAAGAAAAAGAACTACAACATACAACTGAGGAGAAATAGTAACAACAACAACAACAATGGATTAAGAGAAATATTAGAAGAAAAAAAAACATACAGACTAACAGCCGAATGAACAACATACAAACATATATATATATATATATATATATACATCTGTCATTCATACTGTATGCTGATGATGATGATGACAGATAGATTAAAAATTGATTGAGTAGGACAGGATTATTTTGATAAGTTTCAGAGGGTTTTACACGCTGTGAAAGTAACAATGAAGCTTTAAAATTATAAGACAGAAGTTTTGATCACACACACAAAAAAAGGAATAATTTCACTAGATAAATAAACGTTGGAAGTATTACTATTATTATTATTATGTAAGGTGGAATAAGGAAGAAACGAATTCAAGGTAGAGAATGATCAATCAATCAATTAATCAACCAATCAATCAGCATTTATTCTGCCCACAATACCCCGAAAAAAAACAAACCTCGCCTCTTCCTCTCTTAATGCTACACATTCAAATAGGATGTAAGTTGTAAGAATATTTTACGAGAACGAAAAAAGAAAAACAACTAGACGAACACTAACTACACTATTTATTAAGTGGTCGATAAAAAAGAAAATTCACTGCTTGAGAGTTGAGTTTATATTATTCACTGAAAAACAAAAAAATTTGGTTTTCATCTAAAAATGTTCTATGTTTTAAAAAAAATAAAGTTTTTTTAAAACTATATTTTGTTTTATGCAGAAATGTTATGAAATTGTTTAGTTTATAAAGATTATTAGTCACCAGTAAATAGAAGTTTGAATTATTTTTTCTGGTTAGCGTTTTTTTAGCAAGTTAGTTTTCGACAGAATGGGGTCGCCAACCCCATGTACAACCCTCCTCCTTTACCCGGGCTTGGGACCGGCAGTAGCCCCGAAGGTTCTACTGGCGGAGGGAAGCACGGTATCAACTGGACAGTTAGGACGCAGCCGGACGATCTGGACTTCGCAGATGACCTGGCTCTTCTATCTCACACCCAACAACAAATGCAAGAGAAGACGACCAGTGTAGCAGCAACCTCTGCAGCAGTAGGTCTCAACATACATAAACGAAAAAGCAAAATTCTCCGATGCAACACAACATGCACCAAACAAATCACGCTTGATGGAGATGCCTTGGAGGACGTTAACACCTTTACATATCTGGGCAGCATCATCGACAATCAAGGTGGATCAGATGCAGATGTGAGGGCACGGATTGGCAAAGCAAGGGCTGAATTTCTACAGTTGAAAAATATCTGGAACTCCAAACAACTTTCAACCAAAACCAAAATCAGGATTTTCAATACAAATGTCAAGACAGTTCTACTGTATGGAGCGGAAACATGGAGAACTACCAAAGCCATCATCCAGACGATACAAGTGTTTTTTAACAGCTGTCTACGCAAAATACTTCGGATTCGTTGGCCAGACACGATCAGCAACAACGTACTGTGGGAGAGAACAAACCAGATTCCAGTGGAGGAGGAAATCATGAAGAAGCGGTGGAAGTGGATAGGACACACACTACGAAAAGCACCCAACTGCGTCACGAGACAAGCCCTCACATGGAACCCTCAAGGCAAAAGGAAAAGAGGAAGGCCAAAGAATACATTACGCCGAGAAATAGAGAAAGATATGAGAGGAATGAACAAACATTGGACAGAACTGGAGAGAGAAGCCCAGGACAGAGTTGGTTGGAGAAAACTGGTGGGCGGCCTATGCTCCATTGGGGGTAACAGGCGTAAGTAAGTAAGTAAATAGAAGTTTAAAGGATGTGGGGTGTTTAAACTTTTCCGTGCGAATATCAAGAAAATTTAGTCTAAATTAAAAAAAAAAATTTGATGCCAATCACTGGATTATCATGATCAACTAAGTGCCTCAGATAAATGTGGAATAACTGAAGTTTAATTTAACCGATTCTGGTTGGAGAATCTTGGTTGGCAGCCTATACTCCTCCCACATGGGATGACAAGTGCAAGTAAGTGATTGATCTTAATTTATATCATTGAATATCTCCTTCAACCAATGATAC